CGAAGAAAAAGTAGAGTTAAAAAAGAAGATAGATGCACAGAAGCTCTTCCTTAGCTCACCTCATCTGTTTGGCAACAACTGCTCAAATTCACTTCCAGTCTCTCAGCCATTTGTCTCATAAGAAACAGAATAGACATCTTCAAATTTATACTGCTATTCCAAAATTTTTCATTTTGATGGTTTATCTTTATGGAATTTGCAAGTCACAAATCCACATCTTCAATGCATAGCCACATGAAGACAGTGAGACTAGAGTCTCATATTAACTAACGTAATCGGGTATTTAAGTCAACAACAACAAAGTCATAAGTCCCAAGTATTTGGGGTCGGTTACATGAATCCTTTATCGCCATCAAGATCTGTAAAAAATCATATGTTTAGTTAGATTCAAACTTCGGAGCAAGGTATACAATACCGTACCGTACCGGTGTTTCGAGGTTGGCTCGATACGATACGGTACCGTGTATTGTTCGGTACACTAGGGCGTACCGAGTAGTTTTAAATATTTCTTCCTCTTACTGTAGCACTGTAGTAATGATACAATATAGCACTGTAGCACGTTCCGTCCGGTAGCGGGCGGTCCGCGTACCGGTATGCCGTCGAACCGATACATACCACCCATACCGAGCGATACTATTCGAAATTGCATACCATGCTAGTTCAGAGTACTTAAATCATAGTTTTTATTAAAGTCTTTTTAAATCTATTTCTATTTCTTCTCATACCAATAACATTAATTATTTCATCTCTACCGATTACCGCATCAGAAGGTCTCCTCAGTAGATGCCCATGCCATCATAAACAATTTTCTTTCATCTTATTTTATCCTCTATTGAAATGATACCTAATTGTTTACAAATAAGAATATTTATTTTTCTATCTTTCCTAGTAACTCCATACATCCATCTCAACAATCTCTTCTTAACAAAATTCTCATCTTATTTATCTTTCCTAGTATGGTATTTAAGTATATTTGTGAAATGTTGTCATCTACAATATTCTTCCATGAGAAGAGGGAGAAAAGAAAAAGAAACAAAGTACAGCAAGAATGTCATACCATACGTCTACTCTAAAGCAAAGATGCTAATTAAATCTATTTGAATCCGCCAATTATGACAATTTCTTAAAAGCATAATATGATTTGACAACAGTAACATATAATTACCATAGGTCTTCTTTATACTTTTCTAGAAATGTCATGTTGGTAGATTCAAATAGATTCCTAATAGTATATCTAATTCATTGCAGATAGGAGTAAGTTTTAGGCTTTTCTCCCCCCTCCCCCCCCCCCCCCCCCAAAAAAAAAAAAAGTCATATTTGTGACATTTTGAGTTGTTGAGACCATTGAAAATTTTCAGGACGCAATTATGTGGAACCAGCATAAAAACATGTGATAATAACTGATTTTTCAAAAAAAAAAAAGCCCCATAAAAAAAAAAAGCAAGACTTTTTTGAAAGAAATAAAATGGAAAAAAATTTTTTTTTGCTTTGAAAAAA